AAATGAATTTCCTAATTTGGGTCAACTAATCTTGTATGTTTGTTCATTGATTTAGAACAGACGTTAACGAGGAATTATTAAGTTAGCTAATTCCCGCCATGTCATTTTTCTTCCAAGATTTGTTGACTGTCAGGAATGCCAGTAATATAAAGCTTGAATTAACATGGAGACGGGACCTGAAGATTCACAATGTAGGATATCGTTGCAAATTTACCATGTTGTGAGAAAATAGTCCTGTAAGGAAATTATATATTTAATAGATGACTTGAACTTCAAGTACCAGTTCACCTCCAAAGAGATGGACTTCATGAAGTGCATGAGTATAAGGGATCGAAGCGTTCGGTGAAAATATCCTCAAGAATTATTATGAATTTAGGAACCTGCTGACTTACGAGAAATTCTATGATCATACGAAATTGAACACTCGCATATCCTCGTCTCGCAGCAAAGTTTAAGAAAATTTCTCAATCAAATATTTTTTATTTATTTTTCTTGAAACTTTGATGGATTGAAGTTCATAACATTCTTTGCGGCGCAGTAGAAGTTTATTCGAGCAGGATGGCCCAGTGATTACAATTTAGAGTACCAAGATTAGAGCTGTGAGTTGTGGGTTCGATCTCAGCTACGTGCTGCAGTTCTGATCGAATTGACGAGGTGGCCGGGCGGTTATAGGTACAGCAAATTTGGAGCAGTAAGTTGCTTGTTTGAGATCGCAATAAGCTGTGAAAATTGTGCGATGTTCAGATTCAGCGACTGATCCAATGGTCTTATGAACGCGGATACCGCTGTTACATTGCATTCCATCAAATCGCATTACAATACATAACATAAAATTACACTACATTAAAATAAAAAACATTGCATTACATTGTATTACATTGCATTAAATACAGTTTTACAATACATCAAATTTTACATAATATTACCAGGGGCAACCTCAACATCACTTCCCATCTGATTCAAAATGATGGATTATATAGAACGACGCAACTGGCGCATATTGCCTAAACGCTCTCAGTAAGCACGGCGTTTGGTAAGAACTTATAACTTTGTTTAAATTGTTCTTAATTCACTTGATGTTTTTCTTATTGAGGGTGAATATAATGACAGATAAATAAAGTGTTACTCCTTGCCAATTTCGAGAGTTTGAGCTTCATTAACTATAAATTCCATTTTCCGACAGTTGTTTGGATGAATGGAAGCATATTATGCCTATTTACCCTTCCCTGTAACTATTAACAAAGGTTTCATTACAATGAGGACGTTTATGGCAACAATTTACAGGTGCCTATAATTATTATATTTCATGGTCGCAGGGACGCTTATGATAACAATGTGCCAATGTACTTTTATTTACTTACATTATTTGGTGATGATCACGCTTTTTGTATCAATTTCTACGCGCCTACAATATTATTCACCTATGATTCTGAAACATAGGTAATATATGGTACATATAGGTATATATTAAGCATAAATCGCCACAGATGCGACCAGCCAAGAAGGAACACCGAGAGAAAGAAATGGGTCACGGTGTCCAAACTATGGCACTTTCTCATCCACTGCACAAGCAGGATGTAGCTCAGATACTCCTATTTGTCGGGCCAATCTGGGTTAGGATGATATGAGCAAAATGTGCATTGGTAATTGGACAAAGTCCCAGTCATTACTCTGAGTGTTCAGCGTGCGGGCATTGTAACCAAAAGTCCCATCACTGATGCAGGGCATCACTAATACAGGGCATCATGATACAGGGCATCACTGATACAGGGCATCACTGATACAGGGCATCACTGATACAGGGCATCACTGATACAGGGCATCACTGATACAGGGCATCACTGTCATCATTGATACAGGGCATCATTGATACAGGGCATCACTGATACATGGCATCACGCACCTGCTAGGCTGACGCTTGCATCTCTCTTCTATACGACAGTTCATACAAATTGTTCGGTGGCAGTTGCAACTCGTGCTAAACGAAGCAGAGTTGTTCCTAGGGAGCCATAATACGTTATGCTTCTTGAGCAGCAATAAAAACATGGCAGTGAGAAAGCATCCTTGTCAATGGAGCTGTTATATATAAGACGCTATTCAAGGCCTCAAAACATTGTCGATTATGAGCAGCCAGGCGAATGCCGAGATATTCATTCACCAGAATATTACCAACTTGGTTTTTATCTATAACGACAGGTTGCAACGAGCACTTAATAATTCTTGTTTATTTTTCGCAGTTTCAGATATTTACTGTGCTCACTTCTCTTTGCAAATACGTTAAAGATCTAGGATCAGCTTTTAGAGGAGTATATTCTTATCTGTCAGTCCCTATAGGGCTTGAATTTAATTTGTATTCCCAGTATGTTTTAAATTGAGAACATTCAGCCAGGTCCAGGTTAAACTGCCAGGCCCAGGTTAAACTGCCAGGCCCAGGTTAAACTGTCAGGCCCAGGTTAAACTGCCAGGCCCAGGTTAAACTGCCAGGCCCAGGTTAAACTGTCAGGTCCAGGTTAAACTGCCAGGCCCAGGTTAAACTGTCAGGCCCAGGTTTAACTGCCAGGCCCAGGTTTAACTGCCAGGTCCGGGTTAAACTGTCAGGCCCAGGTTTAACTGCCAGGCCCAGGTTTAACTGCCAGGTCCGGGTTAAACTGTCAGGTCCAGGTTTAACTGCCAGGCCCAGGTTTAACTGCCAGGTCCGGGTTAAACTGTCAGGTCCAGGTTAAACTGCCAGGCCCAGGTTAAACTACTAACTGGTGCGGTGTGAGTGACACAGCCTACTTGAGAATGGCCAGGAGCCCCTGCATGCAGAGTTAGGTCTCGTGTTCAACATTAATTACATTATTAACAGCTGGCAGCCGTGAAGCGTCTCAGTAACAAGAGAGTACACATAGGAGCTGTTGCATCTCGAGTGTGAAGTGCCGCATCACAAGCTGTGGTAGCTAAATGAATGTCATCAAACAGGTTTTTTTTACAGTTACAAGCATACATAATTATAGTGTGGTAACGGTGCCTAAAGTGGTTACAGTTTTGAGTTGCAGGATTGGAGCAGTGATTTGCGTGTTCGAGAAGCGCAAAAATATGTGAAAAGTTCTGCGACGTTCAGGATTGACGACAGACGTAATGGCCTAATCTGTCACCGCTATTCTACGGTATGAGTCTCAGCCTCAAATACAATTTCAGCATTGCCGTGAAGACCGTGACTGCTCATGTCCTACAATATAATCTTTTTTTAATGAGAGACGTGGTTGTTACTGTCACAGTGTCACAAACGAGAAAATTAATTTTTTTCTAAAAAAAAAATACTCGGGTAGTTCGTGGAAAAGACTTCTGATGACTCGGTAAAGAAAGAAGTCTTCTAAAAGACTTGGTAAAAAACTTCTGATGACAGAAGTCATAATTTTTCCCAGGGAGGGGGGCTTGATACAGTCAGAGAAATGAGGGAGACATTGTCTTATAAATGATGCACTTTTTTTGCTTTTGTGTGGGTCATCCTGCCTCAGTTTGGCCAGATAAAATAGCATTTGAATGCTACGTTCCCTAACTGATCATTGCTGTGGGTGTGGGTCACTATTCAGACAATTCTACTCATGCGTTTTTAAGACACAACAGAATTCATGCGTTTTTTCAGAAGCAGAGCGGATGTTTATGTTCTACTCCGACCCGTTCTACTCAACACGAGTCACACGTTTTTAGCGCATTTTCTCATTTATGGAAAAAATGCACTATTGTGCTCGCCATGTCCGTCTGTCTGTTTGTCCGTCCGTCCGTGACCTCAAGTTTTCGTCGACGAGAAAATGCGCTCTCTGTCACTCACTGCAGTGAGTACTGAGTTATATTTTTTGTTCACTGGAGAGCGGAGCAGTTGCAGCAGAGCGTGGGAGCGTCTCTCCACTGTCCCGGGTGAGAACTTTCGCTGCCTCAAAAATAGCCGCAGGGAGCGCCACTGCAGGGCTGTTTTTAGACCCCACCTCTCAGCAGGGGCTAAATATAACTCAGCTTAATCTCACGTAACCTCGCTACAGAAAATTTAAATTGTTGTTCTTAGTTATTACTTATTATTGTTCCTTCAATCGATGGTTACAGTGGTCCGTTCACCAAGACATCGACCGTGCAGCATCTTGCACTTAGCTGCAGAATTCAGCAGCTCCTCGTTACTGCTATGTCTAAATTATGATAATCAATTGTTTACTTAAGAAGCGATTATATGTTATTGACGGATTTATATTAATACGAACTCTCCATCTAAATTGCTTCAAGCAGAGGCAGTTTCGTAGTAGGGTCGCTCCAGTATTCCTGCTATATGATCTCTTACTCAAGTCATCCGATCTCAGATAAAGCATTAAATATTAAGTGAACCTCGTTTGTTTCTCACGTGAGTCATTCAGCTACTGACAATGAAATTCTTTCCCGTACGAGTCACCAGTCAGAACTCCGCCTCGTCGACTACGTAGAGGGCGACCCTCACGCTGTCATCAATCTAAACCCTTCTTCTTAGCTAATGGACAAAACCATAGTGACATGTGGTGGCAGTGCAGAGAGCTCTTAACTCTCCCTCAAGTTCATTTTTTGAGTCCTATCAGTAGACCAGGAAAGTATCATAGATACCAGTATTATCATAAATAAGACTTTGGTTTAACTTTGATAAACGAAGAAATTAGAAATGAACTGATTCTAAAAAATCTCTGGTATGTAACTATGGACCATCACAAATCTCGCAATGCGACGGCGATGGCAATGACTAGAATGGCTTAGGGGTAGTGAGTCAGCAGGTCAGGCTACGGCGATATTTACGAACTCATTGACTCACTGCGCGATAATTTTGTTCGGCTGCAAAATGTCAAGGCGGAGAAATTTTTCGTAACGCCAACGTAGTCAGTAAAATTATCTAATGAATGAATGAATGTTAAGAATCTTTTGTACCGATTTTTCACAGTACTACGAACGTTACGGTTCGTGTAGCGCCTAATGCTGCACGTTTCAAGCAGGATAAACATAACATGGAACTCGATCACCTTTATTTATTTAGCCATCAGATGCAATTTCAAAAACCTGTAAGGTCGGTAAAAAAATGTGTTGATATATTTTTATATCAACCAACCTTTCTTCACAAATCAATTCATAAAACTGAGAAAAAAACAATAAATCTCATCAGAAGATGGGGAAAAATTCACGACAATAGTGAAAAAGTTAGGAATATTACTAAAATGTAGTAAAAGAATTATACTGTTCCTTTATTGTGGACGATCCTAAACAAACAAAAAATTACATTTCGGCAATTCGTAGAAAAATTAATAAGCGAAATTTGCAACAACAGAAGTATGTAATTCTGTTAAAATAATACAGCTCACTAAATTCTTATTCAATTGATCTTCAGCACACCATTCCATTGCAAAAATATCTTCGATAAGTAACGAAATAACATCAAAATTAAGAAGTAAAAATGACTTCAAGCTTAGAACATGAAATGAAAATCAGTTGGCAACCTGAGCTGATGAACTGCAGAATCAACGTAAAAAAGTTTGCAGTCTTCGGCTATAAAGCAGTCGGGTCAACCTGCAGGCAAAGGCACTAGTAACTTGGGAAAAAATTTTCAAGCAATAAATTGAGACTTGGCAAATAGTGAGCGACAAATTCAACGCTAAGCGAGACTCAAGTGTTGCGATGCTCAGAGAGATCAACGCCGTACTGCTGCAAAGCGAAGTCTGCGAAGCCTTCCATCAAATCGTCGCCATCGTTGGTTGAAGCTTCTTTCCTGGACTCGGTTGATGCTTTTTTCCTGGGCTTCTTTTTTGTTGGTCGCGACTCGAAGTCACCGTCCGTGCCAGAACCGGCAGACGGTAAGGGTTCAGAGGTTTCTGGAAGCTTTCTCTTACCTTCATGTGACTTCAATTTCAAATTATCATGAGGTTTAGTAAAGCGCGCTTTAGAAATGGACTCAGATTTGGTGAGTGAAGATGTGTTAGGACTAGCATTGGATGAGGCCGCCGCGACTGTAGGAGCCTCATGGGAACTCTGAAGTAACGCTTTCTTTTCAAAGTCCAGGACAACTTTATTTTCTTTACAATTTTTTTGACGTTTCTCTTTCTCTGCAATAAGTGTTTGGTTTTCAGATGAACTCACACACAGAGGGACCACGGATGAACGAGGTTCCTTTACTTGAGCTCTATCGCGCTGCTTACGTTTTAAGTGATCAGAAAAGCTAGAGAAAGATCCCGGTGATGCATCATGTTTTGCATCCATTGACGATTCCGTATTCGCAGCGGGAGCTTCTTGAAATCTACGTAGTTTTGTAGTTCCTCCTTTATTTTTATCAGGCTCGTTCTTCATGTGCCCAGGTCCATGACTGGACGCTGGGCCTTCAGGAAGCACAGGAGAGAGCGAGACGCGGCAGTTCTTAAGATCATCGTTGCGCTGCGCACCTCGCATGGGACTACGTCTGCGTCGAGTCTCAGTTGCGTTTGCAGAAATATAATTTTCCAAAGTCTGAATGCAAGACATACGAAGTCTTTCAGATCTTTTGGAGGCATTTCCATGCGCTGAACATTCTCGCTTCTTCGAAAAACTATCATCCTCATTCGACGACAGGTTGCTTGACGAACTCAATTCTACAGACGTCTTTTTCGCGCCACATGCAAATTTCCCAGATGCATTAGAACGAGCTAAATCTTCACCGTCGCTAATCAAGTCATCATCTTTCCTGCCTTTAAATGAGGACTTGAAAACCTGTTGAACTTCATCCCGTGATTGAATACGATCCGAACTTACACCCCGGGAGCTTTTAGCCGAAGTTTTTGTTGTTCTACCGCCGACTTGATTTTCAATTACCGATGCAATCGAAGATTTCTGCCCAGCATTCCTGACTGGATCCCGACTGTGTTCTCCAGCATCCGACCCGCGTCCTCCAGTTGTGGTTGAAGGTGGTGGTCGAGCGCGGCTTGCGCCGATACTGCGGCGGGGCGATGGCGGTCCACACAGGCGGTCGCCGGAACCTGGTTTTCCAGTGAAGTCCTGAGGGATGCGATGATCGCGCATGCGTGCGTTACTTGGCGCATCAGACGCAGCTAACTTAGACGAAGCCGCTCCTCCTTCATTGACTAGATTTTTCTTAGTGTTGCGAGGCTTAGAACAGTCTGTCGAATCAACTAGAGGATCTTCTCCCTCGTTTGAGTCAACACGGTTGTTATCTAACCTGCTATCGTTCTTTTTAGACGATGTATTAGAGGAGAACACATCGAGTCTTGATGAGAACAGTCTCGGGATGGATAGATCCGTTTCATCTATTTCAAGCGATCCAGGAATGTCATCAGGAGAAAGCGGACACTGAAATTCATGAGGCTCACATACAGAAATACCCTTCGCAGACTGAAGATTATCTTGGGACTGGAAGCAGGCAGCAGTTTCTTCATCCCCGCAACCGACATCTGGAACGTCAGGACCAAGATCAGGCGAAACGTCAGTAGCAATAATATTAGACAAAATATCATCAGGTTGATCATCTATTTCTTCGTGTTGAGAAAATTCCCGAAATTGAACTTGGCCGCAAGGAATAGGCTGAGACTGGGATGCTCCACAAGAAGGGTTCGGTGATACGGGAGAACCATCTGCAGGATCTAAAGCCACCTCATCCAACCCATCGCGATGAGTATCAATTGCGACGGCATCATTCTGCATATCAGTATACTCGTTCCCTCGGCGCCCATCTGAACATGAAACACTCACACATTTTGGATCTTGTACACGATCCGTGGCACCACTCATACCCTTGCTCAACAAAGGTTCTTTGTCTCCCTGATGACTTCCTTTCCCTTTCCTAGCAATTTTTGTAGACGACCGTCCAGAAGATTTACTACTTTCAGTCTCATCGGCAGCTGCACTTTTAACTTCGGACGGTTTGCGATTTTCACTGACTCCTTTCTTTGGAGCTTTATTTGGGGCTTTCTTTGGGGCAGGCTTCTTTTTCGTGGTCATTTTCTTAGTTTTCGTTAGTTTGGTATTTTTGTCCCCTTTTGCGCAGGAGTGGCTGTCTTCCTCTACTTCAGATTCACTTAACAGAGGCGCAAAGCGCGACACAACGGGAGACACTAAAGACGCGCGAAGTTGCTGCATGTATGTAATGTTATTTTCGCTATCTTTTTTCACTGAGACCGATGACGCTTTACCAGGCATTTTGCATGGACCTGGGGCTTCAGGGACAGCCCACTGTTCACCTGATGAGGCCTCAGACGTGCCCTCTCCAAACCTATGTTCCAACATCGTGCGACGCTTGTCTGAGCAGAGGCCGTTAGGGGCTCTTTGCTCGCCAGCAAACAGTCGGGCGATGTCATCACCAGCATCAGATCTCCTCGTTGGAGACCGTTCATTTTCAATCATTCCTTGTCCAGCTCTCTTAGTTCCTGAGTAACCAGCGGCTGAATTATGTTGCGGCGCCTGAACGTGCCGTGACGAAGGAGTTGAAGCAAATGACACGGTAGAATCGCTGACAGAAAGAACTCTAGTCGGCAAAGACGGGTATTCAGGTCCATGCTTGTCGGCCATGATAGGCGGTCGAATCTTGACCGAGGAAGGGACATTATGCCCGTACATGACCATATACCTGCAAAAAAAATATAATTGCAGTTTCAATTCAAAAAAATTCAACAAGTAAGAAATTATTAAAGAATTACTACAAACACGTGAAAATACTTGGTAACATAAATTGATATCTTATTTCTCATCTGATGTGAGAAAAATATTCCATACTATTACTATTCTTTAGGATGAGGAGAGGAGGTTGTGTGGTGTAGCTACCATATTTCTCGCTACATTCATATATCTGAGAAACAACGTAGCACATAAAGAAACTAAAATCAGTGCTATGCAAAAGAATAGAAACGTGATGTTGAACAACTTTGGCAGGAAGGTCACCATGATAACGGCTAGAAAATTTCATAAAAATACTGACGCGTAACAAAATAACCACCTGCCAGGAAATAAAATAAACACCATACTAAAATAACCACCGTGGCAAGAAAAAGCGATAAATTTCCAAGCAATGTTCTAGCACACTTACGTGGTAGCGAGGTGACAATAAAATATAATCGAAATTTCAACTAAAAGATCACATAAGATATGAGCAGGAGATGCCCTAACAAATGGAGTTGTTCGCCCTCGAATGGCGTTGTTCCCCCTCAAATGGAGTTGTTCGCAATCGAATGGAGTTGTTCCCCCTCAAATGGAGTTGTTCCCCCTCGAATGGAGTTGTTCCCCCTCGAATGGAGTTGTTCCCCCTCGAATGGAGTTGTTCCCCCTTAAATGGCGTTGTTCCCCCTCAAATGGCGTGGTTCCCCCTCAAATGGCGTTGTTCCCCCTCAAATGGCGTGGTTCCCCCTCAAATGGCGTGGTTCCCCCTCAAATGGCGTTGTTCCCCCTCAAATGGCGTTGTTCCCCCTCAAATGGCGTGGTTCCCCCTCAAATGGCGTTGTTCCCCCTCAAATGGCGTGGTTCCCCTGTTCCCCCTCAAATGGCGTTGTTCCCCCTCAAATGGCGTTGTTCCCCCTCAAATGGCGTGATTCCCCCTCAAATGGCGTGATTCCCCCTCAAATGGCGTGGTTCCCCCTCACCGGCGCGCGGTCGCGGCGCGGTGCTGCGTGAAGCGGTGCGCGTAGGGCCCGTCTTGGAAGTAGCACTTCTGCAGCTCCTCCGCCAGCCCCGGCCAACGACCGTTCCTCAGGACGCTCACCCACACGTCCGCGCACGAGTCTGGCGGGAGGGAACTACACTTGTCTCAAGGGCTTTCTGAGGTTCTCTAAGAGCCTTTGAGGGTCGTCTTTAGGCTCTAAATGGGTTTTTGATGGAAATTTATTTCACTGGAAAGGCGATAACTCCGCTACTCAGAAGCAGGTGCTAATTTTGTACGAGGCATTAACCAAGATACAATATTGTGGCTGATCGAGCCGCACTTGAATACGGAAGACAACTGATCGCACTACAGAGTGCAAAACGTAACGAGAAACAGTGTGGAATTGTTTACAGTATACCATCCAATGAAAAATAAGACTTTGAAACCACATTGAGGAGTTACAGAAGATTTTCTAGGTATTCCTCAAGACTGGCACTCTGGTAACCATATTTGCATATCATTATTTATTTTCATATTACATAATTTAATTAATAATATTATTGAGCAATTATTGGTGGATGAGACCGCCCCAAGAACTCACCCACGCCGAGGATGTGCGACACCACAGCTCGGTTAAGGACGAGCTTGGCGTCGGCATTACACGATGGCATGTGAGAAACGTTGTCATCACGTTGTGATGAACTCAACTCTTGCCACCACAACCACCACCACAACGTCACCACCTGTGACACCTCCTCACGAGACTGGCGACAACCTGAGCAGTTCCAGCATCTGCGGCAAGAAAAATTCCACATTTTCACTGAAGAACGTCCACGCCACGAATATATGGAAAATATTTGGATGCTCATTTCAAATAAAATTTTTGGTTCGTGGAGTAAGAACTCGCTGAAAAAAATAAACTTATTAGTCCACTTAATCTTGGCTAGTGTCGAATATGATTGCCTGCAGCAGGAGAGCACTGCCTGCAGCAGGACAGCACTGCCTGCAGCAGGACAGCACTGCCTGCAGCAGGACAGCACTGCCTGCAGCAAGACAGCACTGCCTGCAGCAGGACAGCACTGCCAGGTCCAGGAGCGTACCTGATCCAGGCAAGGTGGAGGCTGGCAAGGGCGCGCCTGAGCAGCTCCCAGGGGCGCAGGACGCGCAGGCAGTGCGGCAGGTGCAGCAGGCGCACCAGCGCGCGCACGCAGAACACATGACTGCGCACCACCACATCTGCAACCACGAGATTAATTTAGCGCACAGTTCTACATTTAGCGTGCAGCTCAACATTTAGCGTGCAGCTCAACATTTAGCGTGCAGCTCAACATTTAGCGTGCAGCTCAACATTTAGCGCACAGCTCTGATGCATACATCAGCACCCTACAAAACTTGTGTGTTGACAATATTTGAAAATATTAGGATTCAGGAACAAGATAATTGAGTATAAAATATTTATTAATTTCAGATAATGAAATTAATAAACGTGATAGGTAGGGCTAACGTGGTGATAGCCACTCATCCTGAAGCACGATGTGGCTATAATGCCACTCATCCTGAAGCACAATGATGGAATTGATGTTCAATGGGATTCATTTGCAATAAAATTCATTTCACGATGGAATTGTGAACGCAACGTATGAATTATCTAGCGAACCTCGTCAATGTTGACTTGTACACAAAAGTTTCTTAAAACTTCAACTATTTTCACCAGAGCTGATTATTTTGCATTTCGACTTTTATACTCCTCTGACTGAACTCTACAAAGATCAATTAGCCTTTCTACTAGAGAGCGAGTCCGAACAATAAGTGTGGCGTTAGTTGCCATAGTGAAGGACCAGCGTATACAAACAACCTCACTAGACCACAGACAGCCGTCCACTAAGTGCGGCGCCTGTGTTGCACGAGACAGGGCGCCTGTGAATTGCTAGCTCGTCAATCGCTTCGTTGCCCACAAGAAGCGCACGTAGACGCTGCACAGAGGGGCGCTGAGGCGCTTGACGCCCGTGCGTTGCCTCAAGTGTGAATGGGCCTTAACAATGCAAGATAGTACAGCCCCAGATAAAGAGGTTACCTACCTTTACGCAAGGGGCAGCCGAGGGGCTCTGAGGGGGCCTTGCCGTCAGAGTTGCTCCTCTCGCTCTGGAGAACAAGTGTTAATTTCTAGATTTTAGTAAGGAATACCTGCTTTTAATTTATAAAATTCAATTCTAATGTACCATTAATTTTAATTAATACTTGACAAAAACGTTCGGAGTTCAACAAATTTCTTCACCCTTGTGATGTGGAATACTACAGCAGCTTTATTGTCCGTGAGGAATTAATTGCATTTTAATACCAACATTTTCAATCAAACCTGCGTGACTAGCACCACAATGATATACACAAAACCTGCGTGGCCAGAACCACGATGACCTAATTAGCAATAATAAACATTACTAACATAGCATCAAAGTATTAGACGCGAGAAGAGTACCCTGTCACTTCACATTGTCTGCAAATCCAAAACAGAGAATACAATACACATTCGAATTCAAATCACGACTTCCTCAAAGCAACGTATGATAATATAACGGAGATAAATAGTCGACGTGACGGCCCTCACCCTGAAGCTCCTGTCGTCAGGAGGGCACGACGCGGACGCGATATCGTGGTCTGCCACGGCCTCCTCCTCAGGGTCCAGCCCCGCCAGACCGAACGCCTCTTCTGTGGACACGGCGCATTAGCTCCATGATGGCGTGGAGAAAGTTGAGATTAGTGAAACAAACCTCAGGGAACACCACCGCACCCACCACATCCTCAGAGCACCCAGCACACCCTCAGGGCACTCAGCACACCCTCAGGGCACCCACCACACCCTCAGGGCACCCACCACACCCTCAGGGCACCCACCACACCCTCAGAGCACCCACCACACCCTCAGGGCACCCAGCACACCCTCAGGGCACCCACCACACCCTCAGGGTACCCACCACACCCTCAGAGCACCCACCACACCCTCAGGGCACCCACCACACTGGGTCGTGTCGTAGAGGCGCGGGTCGTCCAGCAGGGCCTGGGTCAGCAGCAGGACGCTGTCGTCGCCGGGCGAGAGCCGCTGGATACGCTGCATATTGAGTTCTCAGTTATTTCTTGCTTTAATAAATATTTACAATTTCTTACTTTACTAGGTTACTTCTTACTATACTTAGTAACTTACTTCTTACTTCGTAATTTCTTACTAATCCTTTAACTAAAATGGTCGCTAAATATTTATAGTGGGGCTAGAAACACGTAGATAAAGGTTGTGCAATAGTAACTCTGAGCTTCAGACAAAGCATACACAGAAATTAACCCACCCATTAAAACTGATTAACAGTCAAGCGGATTAAAGACAGAAGACATCATAGAGAGCCTTGACAAGTCTTGACTTAAAAACAACTAATCTGGATTCACCAGCATTTCGGGAATAACAGTTGGATTCGATTTTAACTTTAAAAGATTGCAGTGTCAACGTCTCTACTATTCTCGCATAGATCAATGCCTTGTTTAATATTCTTGGTGAAATGCCAGGCAGAACACATTGCCTCTGGAGGCCAAAGAAAATTCCTTTCAGCAAGCCACGCTGAAAGGAACGTACAAGACCTAATGTAAGAAGAGGGACCCAAATACCGGACTAGTTTTCAATCTGTTTATTTATTGATCCAAAATATTCTTTTAGAATTTGTTGTGGTGAATTCCAAATCACTTGGGACAGTTCCGCAAGTTCGTCAATACTTTAACGTTGATCTTAAGGGATTTGGTCTTCAATTTTTGCAACATTTTCTTCCGTGCGGTCTGGGATAGAAAAAAGTCTTGAGCCTTTTTTTAGGGAAGTTGAATGGAAATGAATAAAGTAGGTTATATTGAACATGGGTAATATTGAACATGTATTATGGGTAGGTGTTAAGAATGCTAAGAATGCGGGTCGAAGCGATATAGCAAGTATGTAAGACGTGGTTGTTTCGAGGCCGTGGGAACAAGTTAGTTTACATCGAGCGTTAGCGAGCTCAGCGTGAGGGACATTCCATTCGAGGAATGTGGCGTCACTTCGAGGGTATAGGCTTAACTGTGCGCGACACTAGCGTATATAAGGACCTTAAAATTAGCGCCAAAGGTTGGTTCTAAGGAGGTGACCGTCAAGCAAGCACGGTCTGCAGTCAGCGGACGTAACGGCTGCGGTGTTACTGTTTTCGAACATTGACGGTCGCGAGAAACCTGGACTTATAGAAGCAGCCAAGAGTCCGGTGAGCACGTCAAGAAAATCAACATCAACACTACGGCTGCGATTCAGCCGTGAGACAATACGAGAGGGCCACGAGTTGTACAACGATTATAACGCACGTCATCAGAAGATTTAAGTTTCGAGCTCTACACCAAGAATTATCATCGGTACGGTCATCAATAGTACGGTCACAACTCTCATCAGAAGAAGCGCGACGGTCACAGTCATCAACCGAAGTACAGTCGTCATAAATTCTACGGTTAGACCGGCCGTGAGACATCGCTATAGCGCGGGAGATACGGCTATAAAGAAAGAGCAACTGTTAAGAAGACGCGAGAATACAGCAGCGGTACGGCCGCTGAACATACGACTGCAAACGTGTGCGCACGTTACAGTCGTTTACAACAGTCGTACGGCTCAACGGACTGCAACGTTCTGGTAAAATTAGATGATTTTAATGATGTAAACTGACAGGTTTTGGACTTTTGATTGTTTTCAGATTTCATTTTTCAAGTACTAGAGACTTTTGTTAACGTAGGATGTGAAACTTGCATTTTTCAATTTAATATGAAATGTATCAGCGTTTCATTACAACCCTCTATTTGTACTATTTTTGCCGTAACCTTTCCAAAGGAGAACCTTTTCATACGTGCCTATCAAGCGCCACTCGGCGAAAACCTGACAAAACGATAAGTAATGAATATCTTGAACATGAACCTGAACGTAACGTGAAATTGGTGGAGTAATCACTCCGAGTGTCCAACTTTAAAATATAGGACATGATAGAAACTACTACTTATTTTTTTTTCTTATTCTAATCAATCTGGTGGGGCCAGTGAGCGAGGGCATGGAGCAGGGCCCTGATATATATAGTAGTATCACCTTCATGAGGGCGATGTGGAGTTGTGTCTGGTGGGGCCAGTGAGCGAGGGCGTGGCGCAGGGCTGTGCGGTAGGCGGGGGCGTGGCGGGGGTGGCGCCCCAAGTAGCTCGTGAGCAGCGCCTGCGTCGACGCTGCCCCACGCTGCTGCTCCAGCGCCTCCAGCAGCGGCGTCACCAGCCACTCGCACTGAGGGACAGAGGGGAGGGGTGAGAGAATAGCAGGGGTGATGGGCAGATGAGGAAGTCTGGTGACAAAAAAGAATAGCGGTGGGGGTGAGGGTGGTGGGGTGAGGGCAGGGGGCAACTGAGGGGTGCATGGGAGGTGGGGTGAGGGCAGGGGGCAACTGAGGGGTGCATGGGAGGTGGGGTGAAGGCAGGGGGCAACTGTGAGGGCAGGGGGCAACTGAGGAGAGAGTGGGAGGTGGGGTGAAGGCAGGGGGCAACTCACGGGTTCCTTGAAGGTCTTGAAGGCTTCCTCCATTAGCAGCACCGCCTGGTCAGCCACGGACTCATCAGGCACATCCTTCGTCAGCTCACCCAAAGCTGCAAAAAATTTACAGGTCACTGCAGGTGAATCAAGCTCACAGTGGCTTTCAAATATTAAATACAATCATTAAGATAATAAAGGCACTTATTACGCAATTCTCATTCATATCAGCCATACAATTGCCCAGCAATCTCACCCATTCTATGGGACTGCTTAATACTTGTTGTGGCGCTAGAAACGCAGAGATCAAGGAGGTAATGTTATATACCTAAACATGTGGATTCTTTCAGACATATTTAAATCAAAAATCATAGCCTCCACACAACCACCCTTAAGGCCTCAAACAAAGCAGAATATTAACCGTGGTCCACAACATCAAGTGGCACATCGGCAGAGCTGCAGGGGCCCATGGCGGCGAGTTGGGCGTTGCGGTGCTGCTTCCTCCAGCGGACGTAGCACATGATGCCCTTGTAGGCACTCGCGAAGGCGACGTCATAGCAGCGCGAGCGATGAGACTGCAACCTTCCATGACCTTGGTCTTCCACCACCTGAAACATGTCAGCTGCATGAATATAGCGGGCAGTATTTTCTTGAGCTAGTAAATATCGGTGTTCTTTAATATATGAGCTGCTAGAGCTAGTAAATATCGGTATTCTTCAATATATGAGGTGTTCTAGAGCTAGTAAATATTGGTATCCTATCATGTTTGTGTTGCTCTAGAGCAAATGAATATCGTTATCTTATATGGCATTTTTTTCTCTAGAAGAAAGTATCAGTATCTGTAGGTAGCCATCAGTATCTGCAGGTATTGTTTATAAACAAACATAGGCCATAAAGCTATCAGAGGTAAAGAAATCCAAATGGAGGGAAAATTTTTCAAGTAAACTTGTATAATCTCCAATGCTGCTTTACATGCCCTTCAAATTAATTACCCAAACCTTGGCATTCATAGAAAATCAATACAAGAGTGTCTAAACACCCACTGCTAATAAAACTTTTTACACATATAAGTGAAAAATTCACATAGGAAATCAATAATTTTCTACAAGAGACATCAAATAAAATGGCACAGAGCCAAATTACAATTCTAAATTCTGTATATATTATCAATTCTGCATTTGAGAGCATCATATAGTTCTACATTTTAGTCTATGTTTTACTTCAGAAATCAGGCTTTGGTAATTCTTAATCAGTGTGATATCTAAACCCATTAGACTTCTAATTGAGTTATTGTTTTCTGAAGAAGAAGGAACATCAAAGACAGAGCAGAGAGGAGTGATTCGGATACAATTCTCTCAATTTTCAATCACCAGCAAATACATAGAAGTATCTCTCAACACCAAGCATGATAAAGTTGTTAAAAAATACCCTTATGGATGCAATACAAGATAAATTAACCTTTAGAAAAATACCAAAAGCAACATTACACTAGGAGATTATTCACAATGTCAATGGCAGGGAATAAAATTGTAATGATAATTGTGAGTCATATATATTGACACATGAACAACTCTAACCTCAGAATTGTGAAAGTTTTGCAAAACATGGAAGCTGCCCAGCAAAGTTCACCTTTTCAATGTCATCCAACAACTTCTTCAGTTGGAGGTTAGTTTCTGAGGGTTGAGAGTCTGTGGCACCATCTCTTGCAGCAGTTCTGGTGCGCTCAAAATGCTGCACAATGTTGCACAAATCTTGTGCCATCAGATTAGGAGCAGCATAACTCACCAGCTTTGCAACACTTGTTCCTTTGAGTGCACCACAGTTTTCCAGAGCAATCGCCATCTGCCAGCAAAACCAGAACTTGATGGCATTGTCTTCTGAGCAAAACTCTACTTAATATTTGGTTACAAAATAGAATTGGAATATATCAGTAGAAAATACCTTTACCTGGCGTTTAGATGCAAAAAAAAATTATAAAAAAAGTAGATTTCCATTTAATTCATCAGCAAATACATTATTTGATGTATTCATAAAACTGCTTTTTTGGTTATGTAAGCATTAAGGCTTGTAGTCAAAATGCAGCGAAGTCTGGGAGGGAGGTTTTCGCGACCATCGTGTAAAATCCTTGATCTGCCCAAAGTTCGGCCAGTCGCTACCCTCGAGCTTGTACTCTTTGTAATATAATATCCTAGCCAGACCATTCTTCGCGGGAACTGGTCGCTTTCAGGTGGCCGAGGAATGGCCAACGGTCGGCTATAACTAATTGGATAGGCCGACCACTGGCCACGTATTATTCTTTGCCCCTCATTGACTTCGCCTTTACCATGCCACCCGTCAGGGGGAGAAATGGGGGTAATTTACGACGTCTCTTTCCCCTCAAACATTGCACAACGTCTCCATTTGAGCAGCTAGTATGCGGGATTTTCCCTCCGCGTATCAGCAGACTCGATCATAAATATTTTCTGGTGGAAAATATCTATAACAAGGAAGCTGATCAAGGAATGCCGAATATACCATTCAATTGACAATAAAAATTACAACCCGTTTATATCTCGAAAAAAGTGTAAAATTCGCAGACTTGATGAACAATAATATTCAAAGTTTCTTGAAATTTCCTCTTATTAAAACTCTTTTAGTACAAAGTTTACATATCTTTTGTTACTGGTCGACGCTTATAAATAAATAGCTGGGTAAGTATGGAAAAATCCATATCGCCATCTCATTTGCGAGTGGAGTAAAGTCTATCCTAATTAGTGAAGAAACGCTTAGGGAAGAGCCGAGCCTGTTCGAAGCCTCTCGGCTTTCAATCAGGGCCTTAATGGATGGTAAAGAACTAAATAATTGACATAACTATTTGAAATAAATTACCCACCTCTTCAAATCTTTAATTGGTTAGCACTAATACATTCCAAGAAGGCATACAGATTTTTCACTAATGTAACTATAAATAATATATGTAGTTACATTAGTGAAAAATAAACAAGATTACAACCTATACAAGATTCATACAATTTTCATCATATATTTATTGCCTTATGGCATCTCCAAAGTTAATAGCGTGGGAGTAACCAATGAAATGAAATACATTTTCAGGCTGCAGGTAAACTTTTAGAGATATAAACTTCGTATGCGATGCTACACAGAAGTGGCACACAGGAAATGTTCAGGTGCAGAGCTACACAGAAGTGGCACACAGGAAATGTTCAGGTGCAGGGCTACAGAGATGTGGCACACAGGAAATGTTCAGGTGCAGGGCTACAGAGATGTGGCACACAGGAAATGTTCAGGTGCAGGGCTACAGAGATGTGGCACACAGGAAAAGAAGCAAGAGGAGAAGCCAAGATGTTATTTGTTATTTAGGATTCCATTAACTTTATGTTCAAGGGTTAACTTGCATGAACAATTGTACCCAACACATTAAAACAAAGCTTAATGCCAAGACCCAACCATTAGAAAGAATCTACTCCATAAAGCTTGTTTACATGATTAGGCTATTTGACAGTTATTTCGATTGACAGATACAAGTAATTAAAAGTAATCCAGCATTAAAAACTATATAAATTAAACTTAACACACTGAGAATGTACCATATATGCTGCACATTTATTTAACACATCTCTTCTTTAGAGATGCACGATTTTACTAATAGGTACCTATATTTAATTGTAATACTTGCATTAAACTCATAATATTTTGGCAAAATCAGTAGGTGATACGGTTGGTTCCAGCAGTCTAAATGTTATGCATGACATTTTTTCAACCAAATGCAATTCACAGCACAAGTAATTTAGAAGTGACTTAGGTAAAGAAAAAAATTATTTGTAAGGCGCACTATAGAAACAAAGCATGGAGATGTAATAAAACAACATGTTGCTATTGATCAATATGATGTCTAGAAAATCCCTTGCTATCAACTAATACATAACAATAAGATGGGGAAAAAATGGAAGGTGAGTAGCAATATTTGTAATAAGAACCCCCTAATGAGAACCATCATGATATGTCACAAACTTTAATGTAGGTATAGGAAACATTGAACTTAGAGAACAGTGGCATTCATTTGTGTGCAGCATGAATATGTTACCAAAAGCTCAGCTAAAGTAGTGAGATGTTCCACAAAATAAGTAAGTGACTTCTGAGCATTACAAGGTTAAAAAATTTCTAATAATTTAGGTTCAAGTGTAGCTGTGCCTTGAAATTCCACTACTGCAGAGTTTACACTCTGCTGCCTATGTGGAAAATATAAAATATTCCACTAACATCACCTACATAAGAGAGGCAAGGTTGATCATTGAAAACTCAAAACTAACCTGCACTGAATACTGCATGGAGAGGGAAGGGTAAAAACGTATTGCAATGCAGGGAAGAAGAGCCAGCACTTGATCCCAGTCATGGAAACTGCAGGCATCAGTCAGCCCTCGGACAAGCTCTGACAGCACCCGACAACACTTCAGGGATTCGTCTCCTGTATTGATAAAGAATGTATGCCTAATTTGCCAAGTACTTATATATAAATATTTAGAGAGTACAAGTGCAATCTGTTAAGAAAAGCCAAATTTACACAAATAGGATGAATAAGATAAGATGAATTTATTAGGCATTTTCTTCTTGATGCTTGTGAAATGGGACTCATATCAATCAATATTTTGATGTTGAATTTGTTCCAACTTTAATTGGGTTACAAAATAGTGGACATATTAAAAGAATTCAAGACAATAGAAAACAAGTGCCTAGCAAAACAAGTGCTAGAGGCAAAACTTCCAGCATTAAGAAAATCAGAAAAATCAATCCTAAGCAATGAAGAATTATGCCATTATGCCATGCACACTCAGGGGCATACATGCCATTATGCCATGCACACTCAGGGGCATACATGCCATTATGCCATGTACACTCAGGGGCATACACGCCATTATGCCATGCAAACTCAGGGGCATACATGCCATTATGCCTGTCTCTTATACACATCTAGATGTGTATAAGAGACATATGCCATGCACACTCAGGGGCATACATGCCATTATGCCATGTACACTCAGGGGCATACATGCCATTTTTCTCAGCTCAACCTCCATGTTCTTCATGACCATAAAAATCATTAATCATTTTTAGTCACATTGATATTGTAGATATTTAATTTGAATTGTCATTTTACTTATTATATAATATACTACTTTTTATTCTGTTATGTTTGCAGTAAAACAAACAATTGAAAACGGATTACTTAGCAAGAGGAATTTTAATAATAGGAACTATCTTTCCTGTAAGCAACATCACTTTTACTGCACTCCAATGATTCATTCATCCATGCTCCTTGCATGAAACTGAATAATTTATCTTTTACAGCAAAATATATGGTACTTCCAATATCACTTAATAGTTTTCTTTACAACTTAATGAAATTATATAGATACACAAGTGCATTTCCTTTTTCCCATAGGTACTTTCACTCAAAAGGTATTAGTTATTAAAATCAGTCTTTCATTATCCTTCATTAAGGGTACAGTTGTTGCCAACTTGATGGAAAAATAAATAACTGGTCATTAGTGGTAGGAGACCAGGCAATATTATGGCACTGTTTAAAATAATCTGTTAACAGTACGGACAACCTACATACAGAAGCTAAAATACTCATAGCAAGCATGACTGCCATATCTTTGTCTAATAAAATAGAACAGGAATTATTAATCTATTTATCAGGCAAACAATTCTTCTGTGTACAAAATAGTGAGTAGGTACATAATAGTCCTCATATTTATGCAGACATGAGTTGAAAACTAGTAATAAATTTCTAAATTGTGATATGTGTCAATGGACAATTTCAATTATTAAATATTTGAATAATTATGTTTATAAGACATGAAATGCCTAAAAATTGTATTATTTAAATAAAGCCAACAAGAAATACCTTTGAACAGTGCAATGCGAATTCTTGGTTAGGTGCATTAGGAGGCAAAATGTAAATTTGATATTTAATCCCCAAATGACCAAACTAAATGATGTATTTACTTACGTAGTTGAGTCTCCCTACACTCCATGGCAACATCACACGATTTTAAGATCTTCTGACTTCTGCCATTTTCTACAGAGGAATGTGTTGTTCCTTCCAATGTTCCATAGTCAGGATCATTGGGTGTATCCAGGTCTTGCTGAGGATGTTCATTCTCACCAACATGGTGGTCATTACTCAATAAATCTACTTCTTCAGGAGATGTGCGCTGACCACATTCCAAATGATTTGGTGCATCAACCTTCCCATTTGTATGGTTAACACCCAAGGATCCACAAGACTGGTCATTTGTTCCTAGTTTATATGATGGAAATTGAGGGAACAAAACAGTGTGAGAAAACAACTTCTTCTGTCTTTTCATTGCACTCACTGAAAGAGAAGTCAAATTAAATGAAGCAAATGACATAATGAATATTTATCAGATCTACCACTGCTTCCAAAATTAGTTTGGTCTTCTCCCTTTCTGAACAATTGGGTTTTCTGTACCCCATCTGCTCTTGTCCTTATAATTAACAAATTTTAATTAGTAATATATAAAAATCTATAATAATAAAACAATATAAATCATATCAACAGAATTGCCAACTTGAAATTATGAGTGAATAAATTAAACTAGAATAATTTTCAAAGTTCAAACATATTTAAGTAGATGGAATTCAGGAGAAGTACAAAATATGAACATGAGAACATATAGGTAGTACCTTAAAATGGGATGACTTGGACCATATCTAGCGCCTGTACTTTTCGTGCTACAAATAGTCTCATAGTAAATATATAAAATAAATTTATTTTGTGCATTTCTAGGCAATCTCATGGTGTACTTCAAGAGCCATCAACAAAATTTTTTTAGGGCAAGAACTGTTTGAGAAGGGGGTTTTCTTCTCTAAAATGTCAAAATGATCCAAGTGACTCTGTTTTATGGTACATGCAGGGAAGCAAGTTACCAAGCTAGATCAATCTTAAATACAGGAACCCCAATTTTTAGAATTCCAACCTTTTCAGGCCAGAATTTGAATTTAACGACTTATTACTGAAATTTCATTGCTCCAAATTTTTAATACATTGGGAATCTTGCAGCTTGATTCTTCTCTTAAAATGTAAATAGGAGCCAAATCATCTAGCAGGAATCTCGTGGTTCCAAAAATGGTGGGAAATCTCTAGTTGCAGCTTTAAAGCTAGATTTATTCAATGTCAGGTCCAGACCAATTCTTATGGTTCTTTCTGGACAGGACCCACCATGTATAGTTTTGCAATTGTGCTGCCAAGATCGGTTTTCAGTGCTGAAAATGTTGCCAGTATTATTGAGGATTTGTCTGGCAACCAATAACAGTCTGGAGGTGCACATGCACTTGGTGCAAATAAACATTCATTTTAAATTACTGTACCTCAGTCATATTGAATTAATGAACTTAGCACCAAAATTAGAGGAACATCGCAGTTGGCTGTCACACCACCTTCCACTCTTGCAACTATAAGTGCACTAGCATCAGTCTCGCTGACCAGGCTGAGTAGGCTTAGCAAAGTTGGCATTCATTTGCTGCCTTTACAATAATTGGTTAACAGCGAGGATTGTATTATAACCCATCCCCAAACTTTTGTAGCGCAAATCAGTCAATCTTTGAAGATCATTTCTATTTAAATAAATTAAAACAGCATCTGCCAAAACAGATACTGGTATGCGTAGAAAAACTTCTATTTTAAATTATTTTGATCTCAGTTATATACATGTATTTTTTTGTCCGTTTGGTTCTTTGCACTTTTAATCTGTAAATGACTGGCTGGCTCCTTGCACTTCCTGCTCATTTATACATACAAAAGTTTAAAGACCAGAATACCCAATAAAATTTTAAAATACTTGAAAAAAAGCCTGTTAGTAGCATTAAAATTCATCAGAAAATAATTAAACTTTACTGTAACACAATTCAGATGATAAAAATAGAAAAATCCATTGGCCATAAGATTATTGCCAATGGCTTTGGTTAAACTAACAGAAAAGAACAAATATCTAGCATGAATTTTCATTTCCTAATGAAGTTCTCTTAAAAATAAATCAAATGATCTCTTATATGAAAATTCTATGGTTCTATTAAATTTCTAATTTGTCAGATTTGAGATTTAATATTTTTGCTTTTTTTTCTACATAATAATAAATTATGCCAAATTATGATTGGGCCAAATTCACATTAGAATTAATGTTCCAAAACCATCAGATATTATACTTTAAATAATTGAACATAAACTTGAATAAAAATGTTTCTTAAAATAAAAGACTGAAAACTCATGATATATTGCAAGAGTTAATCTGTATGTTAGTGAGTTTAAAGTCTAAAAACTCTTAATAGTGAACACTAAACATATCAAGATATAACATGATTTCCTAATTTATATTTTACATGAAAGGGCTATAGCTTTGATGAAAATTGAAAAGATTACTGGATGATGATTTCTATTATGATTTACAAATTTGGTAGGTGCATAATTAGTAACAGGATTTGGTATTGTTGTATTTGAGACGATGGTAGTACCTTTTCCTTTTTACAGTGACATGGATCTCATGTCGTAGCATATGGAATATTGAATCATTTTGATGAAATATGTTGAGAGCAATTAGACCATGCCAAGCATTGAGGTAAGTGAGCCTTGCACAATGCTTCCTATCTTGATTAATAGAAACTCCAACCAGCAGTCTTCTTGGAAATTGAGCATTTACATGTAGCAACAAACCTCCAACATAGAACTTTTGTCCAAAGCAAATATGTCTGTTGCTAAACATATTTTGCTCATATGCATGAAACAAGCCAGTTAAGAAATATTAACCAATCAAAGCTTTGAGTCACTTATGCAAATACAACTTCTGTAGAGAGCATTGAGCATTGATGATCTACAAGTATTATTTGAAGGCCACTCCTACAGTTATTTATTACATGTACTTTGATTAGGCCATGTTTGAGTTGGGTGTGCAAATGGTGCTAAAATTTTGTGTAACTATGAGAAAGGGAGACACAAATAATTCTAACAATGCTTGTACCCTTGTAGTAGCGTAATGTCAATAAATAGCTTTCTTTTCAATTAGATTCTCATCTGTTTCAATTTGACATACTTATGTGTGTGAATCAGGAAAAATTAGCTTTTAACAACCTATAAGAAATCAAAGTGATAACAAAATTATGACAATGCAGGATGAAGCATAATGTCAATAAATAATTTATTGGTTAATTAGTTCCTTGGTGGTTTTATTGCAAGTATGTGACAAACTCATGTGTGGACAGGACAAGTGGTAAAAATTAACATTCAGTATGCTAAATGGTATCAAAGGGAATAAAAACTATCCTTGTTTTTATTAGGTCAAGACTGGTGTCTGATTTTAATTTAATAAACACATGCATCAAAATCTTGCAATGAAAATTCATCTTGCAAGTGTCCTGACCAGAATTTTCCCTGCATCAGGATTTGAAGTTCAAACAAACCCCCAAGGCTCAAGTCACTGCTTGCTGCTACAATCATGGTGATTAAATATTTAAACACAAAAATTGCCAACAAATAAAAATTAGCCTAATTAGGAAAGAAAAATTTTTATTAAATAAAGAGATCTCATGGTAATCTCCACTGCAGAGCAATGAGAGCATGACTTCTTGGAATTTTCTAACAAACAATTAGACCACGCCAAGCATTGAGGTAAGTGAGCCTTACGCAATGCCCACTGTGCAGAAAGTGGATGAATATTGCAAGATCTGTGGCGATGCTTCAGTAGCAATATTTACGCCTTCAGAAGATCTTGTCGACACATTTAGATTGAAATTCTTGCATTTGATAAATTTGTCAGTCTTCGGCCAACTATTTGCAAAAAAGTAAGGTTTCCGGTACGTTGGATGGATCAGGATGCAGTGAAGTTTGTCCAGAAATCAGTTGCAATGAGTTCCTGCCAAAATATCCAACGCAAATGTAAACAACAAGTTTACAATTGCATAGTTGCGGTCACATTAGAGCAGTCAGATTGCATTATCACATGTTCAGTTGACACTTGCTGTACAATCAGACTGTTTTTAGGGTAAAATTAGTTATTTGGGATAACACATGCATGCAACCTTGTAAATAAGTTTGTGGCTTGTAACTAATTTTTTATTACGCAGCATAAATGACTTTTCATCAAAAATTACCTGGCGACGCATCTTGGAAATGGCTAGGGGTATGATTCTCGCTTCGGGTGCGAGAGGTCCCGGGTTCAATTCCCGGACAAGCCCATCACTTTTAACATTAATCAAATTAATCAATGTTACATGTTATGCTTAGCGAGAGAAAATAAGCGTATTACCTACAACATTTTGCTCCTGTTTTTGCACGCCCACCTGCCCATAGTGGCAAACCAGAGCTTTTTTGGAATCGGTTCATTCTTAATTTCCTCAAAAACTCGAGATTTAAACCAATTTCTTAAGTATGATAATGCTGGTATCCATGATACTATCCATGATGAACTTGAGGGAGAGTCTAAAAAATTCTCTGCTTTGTCACTATGCACCTGCCGCTGGCGAGCACTTGTTACCCGAACACAGTGCAGATGAAATTTTTTATTACGCAGCATAAATGACTTTTCATCAAAAATTACCTGGCGACGCATCTTGGAAATGGTTGTCGTTGGCAACACTTTGGGCTTAAAAACCCATATATTTGCGACACTGCTTCCACCCTCTGCACGCTGGCGCAATGCTTCCTATCTTCAGTACTTGATTGATAGAAACTCCAATTGAGAGGGAGTGCCATAAAAATCTACAGTGAATCAAGCTTGGAAAACTTCTACCTTTAGGCTTAGGGCCACGACTAGAGCTTTCCGGCCTTTGAGAAACCACAAGATTTCTGCCAGATGAATACCTAACCTCCTATCTAAATAATCTAATTGTTAACAAAAGTGCACAATCGGGCTGCGAGATTCCAATTGTATTTAAAAATTCATCACATTGGAGCTTCAAGATTTCAGAAACAATTAGGAAAATTCCAATCCTGCAGTGAATGCTTTAGAAATTTTTCATTTAATTTAAAGATTTTTGATTAACAAAAGTCATTTTATGTTTGAAATTATTTTAACTGTTTTTTACCTGATCCTTCTAGTATGGTGATGGTTCCCAACATCTATATTTTTCTTGCAATGATATATGTCATCTAGAATCTGCGCGATGCAAGTAAATCTTGTAACTTGTGAAGTAGGATTTTTTGAATGCATATGCAACTAGCAGTTTTTTGGAAATCAAGGGTTTATATGTTGCAATAAACAGGAAATGTAGAACCTTTGTCAAAAGAAAATATGTTGGCAGAGCAACAAAACACTGTCTGTTGCTACAGCATACAATGATACACTCATAGTGACAAAGCAAAGA